GGGCATGATAATTCTTGATATATTGAAGACACTAGTCTTTTACAGATATTTTATCCAAATCTTTAGTTTGCTTTTTTTTTTTGGTATGTACCCATAGCGGGAACCAAACCTGGGTCTCTCTGGTCCGCAGGCCGATGCTCCAACCGCTGAGCCAAACCGGCCAGGGCTTTTTAATTTGCTTTTTAAAATTCTTAACAGGGTGTTTTGTAGTACAAAAGTTTTAAATTTTGATGAAGTCCATTATATCAGTTTTTATATGGATTGTGCTTTTGGTATCAAGTTTAAGAACTCTGCCTAGCTCTAGATTGTGAAGATTTTCTATCTTTTTTCAAACAGTTTTATGATTTTACATCTTAAGTCTGTGATCTATTTTGAACTCATATTTGTATAAGATGTGACAACTAAGTTTAGGTTCACTTTTTGCCTGTGAAGTCCAGTTACTCTAGTATGTTTGTTGAAAGGCTATTCGTCTTGAATGAAAGCAGTTTTGCATCTTTCTCAAAAATCTGTTGGGCATATTTGTATGGGGTTATTTCTGGGTCCTTAGTTCTGTTTCACTGATGTATGTGACTGTCCCTTTGTCAATACCATACTGTCTTGATTACTGTAGCTATATAGTAAGCCTTAATATCAGGTAGAGTAATCTATCTTCCTTCCTTCCCTTCCTTCCCTTCCTTCCCTTCCTTCTCTTTCTTTCTTTCTTTCTTTCTTTCTTTCTTTCTTTCTTTCTTTCTTTCTTTCTTTCTTTCTTTCTTTCTTTCTTTCTTTCTTTCTTTCTAATTTTAAACTTATTTTTGGTAAGATGTGTTAGCTATTCTGGTTCCTTTGCCTTTTCATATAAATTTCAGAATAAACTTGTCTATAACATAAAAAATCCTTACCGGGATTTTTATTGGAACTACATTAAACCTATATATCAATTTGGGGAGAATTGACATCTTTGTTGAATCTTCATATCTATAAGCACAGTATAAATCACTATTTATTTAGGTCTTAGATTTCTTTCATCAGCATTTTGTACTCTTCAGCATACAGATCTTGTAAATGTTTTAAGTGCACAGCTGAGTATTTTATTTTCTTTGGAGCTGTTGTAAACAGTATTATGATTTTAGTTTTGGTTTCTGTTCACTGACAATATATAGTAATGCAATTGTTTTTTTGTGTGTTGATCATGTGTCTTGAGACGTTGCTAAACTCACTTATGAGTTCTAGGAGGTTTCTGTAGATTGCTTGGCATTGTTTGTCATCTATGAATAGAAATAGTTTTAATTTCCATTCTGTATGTCTTTTATTTCTGTTTCTTGCCTTATATTTTTTTTCAAGTTTTTGAAGTACCTGATTATTTTTTATTTATTTATTTGTTTTTTGTTAATCCTCACCCAAGCATATTTTTTTTTCCCATTGATTTTTAGAGAGAGGGTGCAAGGGAAGGGAGGGGAGAGAAACATCGATGTGAGACAGATCAGTTGCTTGCCTCTCGCACATGCCTGGACCAGAATAGGGGATCAAACCTGCAACCCAGGTATATGCCTTTGACTAGGAATCGAACCCAGAACCCTTCTGTACGTGGGCCACATAGGCCAGGGCTAAGTACTTAATTATTAATTCATTACCAAACTTTTCCTGAGCTTTGTAAATAGCCTCATTAATATGTATTCAGTACCTTCTTGATTAGTTTTGAAGAAGTCTCTCCTGTCCTCTAAGCCAGATTGGTTTATTTCTAGGCCTGCTTCACACTTACTTGGAATATCCTGGATATTCCTTTTGCCTTTCTCCTGTTTTGGGGTTGTTATATAGTTTTTATAGCTATCATTTCTGATAACTATTCTGTTACTGTGCCGGAGCATATTTGCCAGTAGTTAACTAAGAAGGGATCTAGAGGAGGCAAATTTGTTGATACTTTGCATGACTGAATTATTACTTGAGCCTGAGTTTGTCTGATTTTGTAATTGATAATTTAGCTGACAGTAAAATTCTAGGCTGAACATTGTTTTCCCTTAGGATTTTATTTTTATTTATTTAATTTTTAAAAATATGTTTTTATTGATTTTTTCTTTTAGAGACAGAGAGAGAAACATCAATTGGCTGCCTCCTGCATTCCCCCTACTGGGGGTTGATTCCGCAACCTGGGCATGTGCCCTGACTGAGAATTGAATGGTACCTCTCAGTCCATGGAACGGCGCTCAATCCACCGAGCCACACCGGCCAGCCTTCCTTAGGATTTTAAAAGCATGGCTTTGTTGTCTTCTGGGTTTCAGATTTGAAGTTTGGTGCCATTTTGATTCTGATTTTTTTTTAATGAAACCTGTTTTGTTTTTTGCTCTCTAGAAACTTACAGAATCTTTGTTCTTAGTGTTCTAAAATTTCATGATTATATGGCTAAGTTTTGGTTACTTTTATTCATTTGGCTGGATAGTACTGACATTCTATCAACCTGGAAACTCATGTAATGGGAACTCATAAGAAATTTTCATAAATGATTTATTTGATGATTTCCACTCCTCTGTTTTCCCTTTTTCCTTTTTGAATTCATGTTATTTGAATATTGGAGCTCTTGGGCTAGCCTTTTAATTTTTTTGCCTTTTCTCTTGTTGCTCCATTTTTTTGTCTTTTTGTGGGAGACTTTCTGGGAGACTTTCTCAATATTTTCTTCATCTTCAAAATCTTCTTTTGAGTTTACATGTCTCTAATTACAGTGTTAATTTCTGAGAGTTATGGTATCCTGTTCATGTTTTAAAGTTGTAGTCTGTATGTTGTCTCTGAGAGTATTAAATAGAGTTTTGTCTTTTGAAGTTTTTTCTTGAATATTCATGGTTTCTTTTCTTCTCTACTTTTTGCTTTTTGTTTATTTTGTCTTTCAAATTAGACACATTTATCAAATGTTTGGTAGAACCAGAAAAAGCTGTTCAAAAGCTCTGAATGCGTGAAGTTTGTTCACTGGGCATCAGTGTAGGGTCATCTGCTTGGGCATTTGCCTTTAGGATTCTTCCTGACGTCAGTTTCTTTAGGCATTTACTTGAGCTGGTTAGCATTCTGGATGCTGGGTAGAAGAGAATGCTGTGGGATTTCGGTATTCAGTGTGTAAACTTTCACTTCATCTTCCTTTTTAAGTGTGTTATTCTTGCTTCAATGTGCTTGGTGTCTTTTATCTAGACGTTTTTGTTTTTAAGCCTCGTGTGTCCTGTCAGACTGGGGAGGGACATTTGCTGGGCATGCAGAGTAGCAGAGGGATGGGGATCTAAGGGTCTAAATCTTATTAAATAAGCTTTCAGCTGATCTGGTCTTAGTTCCATATTTACTTCTGCTTCAAGAGGTGATTAACACTGACTTTTTAAGTCTTTTAAGAGTTCTGTGATCTGAATCACTGTCCTTGGCTTTCTCTACTGTTGGTTCAGGGTTCAGCTTTTGGTTCTGACAAGTTAAACAAAAGCTTCCAGCTTCCAAAATTTGTTGCTATTGTAGTCTTTTTTTTTTTATTGTAGTGGGTATGTCCTTTAAGATAAAGTACTCTTTATTGTCATTTCATTGGTGTTTGGGAAAGAAGTAGATCTGATGCTTGTGTTCAAGCTGCCATTTTAAAACAAGTTCATATATATATATATATATATATATATATATCGCAAGTTTAGTATCAAGCAAGAGGAAACTTTGCTTAACACTATGGAATATTTTAAGACTTGAGTTACAGAAGAATATTACATTATTTGCACTCATAATTGGCTTTCCTTTTAACATATGTTGGAAAGAAAAACTTTCATATGGCTAAAAGATAAAATAACTAAATTCTATGGGAATCTTTAAAATTAAAGGTGAAGCTTATGTGAAAGGATGGATTAACATATTTGGTAAACCTTTTTCCATTGATGTTTTTAGATAGAGTGAAAAGGAGGGAGAGAGAAACATCGATGTGAGAGAGACACATTGATTGGCTGCCTCCTGCATGACCCTGACCAGGGCCCAGGATCGAACCTGCAACCTAGGCACGTGCCCTTGACTGGAATCAAACCTGATAGTGGACCAACACTCTAACCACTGAACCAAACTGGCCAGGATGTAAACCTATTTTTTTAATACTAGTTAATGAAAGCTGTTTCTTTTTCCTTTTGATAACCTATTTTTGCATATACAGACTGGAAATAACAAAATTTTACGCCTTTTTTTCCTGCCCAGATTGATGTTCCCACAAAGTAGTTTTAAGTTCCATTTATTCAGATTTTAAGCATTTTGATTTATACAAAAAGGGATTGTTCATAGAAAAAACTGACTTTGAACAGTATACAGCAGATAGGCTATTTCACATCAGACAGAACAATCAGTATTGGCCACAGGGCTGGTCTCTAGACATTCTTCACTGTCCTTGCTAAAGATGCTTTGTGTCTACAGTTAGTCCATTTCTCTTGCCCATAGGAATTGTATGTCTTGTTACTGAGTCCATGTCCATAATCATTATGATCTGTTTTTTAATGGAAAAAAAATCCAATGAAAATGCATGGTTAGCATAGTCCAAAGTTTTAACATTGATTATCTTTGAGCAGTAGATTTATTGGTGTTTGTATTTTTTTTATCTTCCCTATATATTTTATTATTTATATATGATACATGAGTTCTTGTAGAATACAGGAAGTAAAGACTATGACACCTGTGTTAATTAATTTTTAACTTGTTTGCTTCTGGGGAGGGAAAACTATTCAGTACCTTTTCTCTAGAGACAAGCTTTTCATAGAGTCCAGGTTCATCTAAGAAGCAGAGTATTTGGTGATCTTAAGTCTAAACGTAATTACTTTGAAACATGAAGTTCTTGATTTTGAAATACATGATGGTGTAACCTATATCTTGTTGCATATTTTCCCCATATAAAAACTTAGGAAAAAAATATAGGCTTAAATGTTAATTTTAGTGTGTATGTTATGCTCACAATTGGGAAATAATAGCATTATTTATTTGTTGTTTTTATATGCAACACTCTTGCATAAATGTTAAGTAACTAAATGGCTGCACAGATACACTGGCTGGCTGTGAATGGGCGGACAGAACTACTCCATGACCTTGTACAACATGTCAGTGACGTCGATGTTGAGGACGCAATGGGGCAGACAGCGCTGCATGTGGCCTGCCAGAATGGTCACAAGACGGTAAATTTAGCTGGAGAACTTTAAGTTGCATGTGTTTATTTTTGAAAACTGTGCATAATTGGGAACATGAAGCATCATAGCAAAATCTTGTTACAACATTTCTGCATCATACAGACTTCTGATTAATATATTTTATGTGGAAAAAAGGAATAGAAAATAGTGCTTTTAAATCTGTTTAAAAAATTTGTAATTTGGATTTCAACTTTATTTCTGATTCATCTATTTTTAAATAGCTGAATATATTAAAATTTTAAAAGTAATGTTCACATGTATTTTAACACCTGTATTTTGTTCTCAGTTTTATCAACTAACGTTCATATTTTATTTTATTTTTTACTACTAAGGCTCAGTTCTTGGGATTAGATAGTAAAGAAAGTGAATACTGACATTGCTTAAATAGCTAAACTTGGGTTATCATATTTGTCTACTGTCTTGGAATATGATGCAAGCACTAGAATGACAGTTTTCTTTCTGACTCTAGATTTGTAAAATCATGCATTTGTTTTATAGCAACACTTTTTTGTTATTTCTATGTACAAACATTTGGCTTTTAAAATTACTAATAGTTTTCTCTCTCATTTGGAGACTTTGCTGCCGTATATAAAGGTTGTTAGCTAAAGATTATAGGTGAAATTCTGCTTTGATATAATTTCCTTTTTACTTTCAGGTTTTTTTCACATTTACTATTACTGATAATAGAATGCTATTTATTTACTTGCTAACCATAACAATAACGAAAACAAAGACCAACCCAAAACAAAAAACCACCACCACCAAGTACAAACCACGTTTGTTTGTTTATATTTATTTTTTTGTATACTGTTTGAGTCTTAATCTTTTTGTTGGGAGAATTTTTAGTGGAATCTTGGATTTCCATCTCTGCAAACAATTTTTTCCTAACCTGGGTTCAGGATGTAGGATCCTACATGTTTAGATGCTTTATGTATGACCTCAATTTACAGAATATTTTACTTTAAGATAGTGAGGCCAAGGTTGACATTGTCTCATATTTATTTATTTATTTTTTTTAATCCTCACCCGAGGATATTTTTTCCATGTTTTTGCACAGATAGAGTGGGAGGGAGAGAGAGGAAGGGAGAGAGAGAGAGAAACATCGACGTGAAGGGACACATCGAGTGGCTGCCACCCGCACGACCAACCAAGGCCGGGGACAAACTGCAACCGAAGTACGTGCCCTTAGCGGGAACCGAACCCGGGTCTCTCTGGACCGCAGGCCGACGCTCTAACCGCTGAGCCAAACTGGCCAGGGCGACATTGTCTCATATTTAATAAGAGTTTATGAAAGAAGGTATGTAGGATTGTGTGTTTTTTTTCCTTTCCTATAATTTCATCTGAGCATCATTGTTTGTTTTAATTTTTTTGTCTTTTATCATCTGAAAACTAACCCAGTGTTTCCAAGGAGTATTCCTTCTCATTAGTTTTTACTTTCTCAGGGTCCATACTATTAAATTTAAAAAATATTCTCTATGACAGAAAATGATCTGAAGTGTTTTACTTTTTAGTGGCCCAGGTTTTTAAGCAATTAGAGAATGAGTCTTCCTGCTAGTAGCTCTCATAGGACAGAACAGCACCTACTTTAATGTAAACACTGTGTTATACCAGATAAGTGGAGTGTCCTGTACTAAGATTGTAAACCTTACCTATTGTCCAAGAACTTGTAGGAAATAACTAGAATTCAGATTAGAAATGATCTACAAAAGCTAATTTTAGCTGCCTTGAATCAGTGATGAAGCGAGAATTATGTAGAAAATTTTGTTTCAAAACATGTGCATTACAGGCTGCATTAGAAATTTAGAATTGCCTTCTAAGTTATTGAAAGGTAGTTAGTATAAGTATAATATATTCCATATGGTTGCAACCTAAAGCAGGTGTGGTAAAGTACGGGAGAACTCCTCATAGCCAAATGCCTTTGAAGAACTGTATTCTCAGAAGATTTATAGGGAGCCTGACTTCACTGTGCTGATGAGTTTTACAGGGTGAGATTTTGCAGATATATTAGGGGAGGAAGTGTACTAAGAACCATGTTGACTTGTGGTAGATTGTATTAGTGAGTTTCCATTCTGTCATAGTTGACCAATTATAGTTATCTGCAAGGATCATATACTGATAATGTTTAAAACTGTTTTCTGAATTATTGTATTCATCTTTAATTCTTCTTTAATTAGGGCAAGAAGGAATCTTGAAAAATTAGTCTATCTTCTAGCCTCCAGGCTGAATTTTTACCCTCTAAAAATCTGTGTTGACAGTTGTGCTAATATTACCTGTGTCTCATAGTTACTCATATATATCTGGCCTATGTTCAAAGTTCAGTAGATAAGCATATTCTTTTATCTTGAGTTAGATATGATTTATTGGGTTATAAGATATGATAAGTTATTACAGGATAGGGATTATTGAATTTTGTAACCCTTTTTATTTTTTTATTTTTTTATCCTCACCCGAGGACATTTTTCCATTTTTTTTGTACAGATAGAGTGGGAGGGAGAGAGAGGAAGGGAGAGAGAGACAGAAACATCGACGTGAAGGGACACATCGAGTGGCTGCCACCCGCACGACCAACCAGGGCCGGGGACAAACTGCAACCGAAGTACATGCCCTTAGCGGGAACTGAACCCGGGTCTCTCTGGACTGCAGGCCGACGCTCTAACCGCTGAGCCAAACCAGCCAGGGCGAATTTTGTAACCCTTTGTATGTCTTCCCATAAGTTGAATCCTGGGCCTAAAATGCTTTGGTCAGTTATCATAGTGACTGTGAAAATGGCCTTTTCATTGTCTCAAAGTAGCCAGTTCTTGCATAAAATTATTAAAAGATATTTGATACTGGTGTCCATGTAGACATAGGTTTTAAGATTTCAGTTTATGTTTAAGCTTAAAAACTTTCATATTGATTATGTATTTTTATAATATGAAATATAAAACTTTAGAGGGAAAAAGAAACTATTTAAAAACATTTTAAAAAGGATATAATTTCTTTTTAAATTAAAGAGACTTATATGATAAATATCTTCTGAAGTTTCAATCCAATCTCATTTTAGGGTAAATCTTGAATGCTGTATTTTTGCTCTAATGACAAGAAATATATATATATTTTAAGTTAAAAGATTCGGTATATTAAATTTTGTTGTAACCAATAAATTGAGTAATCTTTGCTATGATTTCATATAGATGCATCTGTTTTATTGGCAATAAACCAAGACAAAGAACTCATCATCCTCTTGTTGGAAGGAAGTGGTGGTCCTTGTAACATAATAGCACTATGATCTTAAACTACTACTATTCGTATTTATAAGTGATCAGGTCAAAGAAATGATCGTAACAATTCTTAAGTAATGCAATTCTTTATAACTTTCCTTAGGTTGGTTGTTAATTAGCTGTACAATACTAAAATTATGCTTTGTCTTTTGATACTGATTTTAACAAATCATTTCAGATTTGATTATTCAGCTGGTTTATTATATGGCTACTTTTTCTTCCCCTGCCTATGTACCTCCTAAGGTATATTCTGTTTACTGATTACATAATTAAGTGTTGTAAACACTTTGGAAGACACTTAAGAGCACTATTCCTTCCATTATTAGTGTGGATGATGTGATTCTGTAAGCAAAATATAGAAAGCACTGTCTGGATTCTTAATCGATTTACTCTTGTTCAATAAGCTGTTGTGCTGTTTGAGTTTTAACCTCCTTTATAGAAAGAGTAGTGAAACCTCATATTCTTTTATATAGATATAATTGACTCCAATTTTTTTGACCATAAATTGAACAGACTTTTTGGTACCTTTTTTCTTTGTCACTAGTTAAAATTTATTAATGTGTTAAATTGATAAAAATAGTTGCTTGCTGTTATCTTGGAGTACCTTGGATTTGGAAACCCTAGAGAACTATCAGATGGTTTAGCGTCAGTTTACATAAGTTAGAGTACACAGCAGGATTAGTTTATGGATGAATTTCAATTTACTTATAAAAGGATTTTATTTTTATCAGAATGAATTTTACATTGCTAAATTTGTATAACTGAAAATCACGCTTCACAAATATATAAAATGGTAGCTGAACCTTGTTTAGAATAAATTTAAGCTCCTGAAACTTAAAAGCAGTCATTTGACACTGGTATTATACACTATCTTTAATAGAACTGACTACATTTTTTTTTGCTGAAATTATAGGCTTGTTAAGGAACATTGCTCACCTATGTTCAGTCAGTTCTCTTGATAGCTTTAGCCAGCTTCCAAGCTTTTCACCCAGAGATTATATAATGGACAACCATGCTTAATGGAAAGCTTTGCAAAAACATTAATTGGATCAGCCTCAAGGCGCAAAGGTAGATAGACAAATATTTCTTATTTTTTGTATTTTTAGGTTTAGAGTAATTTTATTTATTGTTAGAATTCTTTTTTTTACTTCTAGGAAATGTGAGCAAATAATAGAAAGTTCTCTTATTATTCTGCTCTTTTCTACACAACTGGATAATACTGATTTTTGCTAGGTAATTACATAAGGGTTCCAAGTCTTGATAATTTTGTGGACAGATTTCTTGAGAAGACCTATATAAACCAGTCACTGATTAGTGAGTTGGCCATTTTTCTTAGTGCTTAAGTTATTTGTGCATTGCAATTAAGTCATTTAAGAACTTTTTTCTAATGTTCAGAGTTTTGATTAAATTTATTGGGGTGACATTGGTTAATAACCAGACTTCTTTTTAATAGAAGATAAAACAAAGATGCTTGCTTTTTTTGTTGTTTGGTCTTTTAGCAAATGATAATGCCATAGCAGATTTTTACTTGTAGTTTTAATATTGAATATCTATCCCTTTTTACTTTGATCAGTATTGTTTAGAGAGTTAACATTGATAAAGTTGAGCTGCCTTGGATTTCTTACTTTGTAATTTAGCTGTGTATTGGGCACAGGTGGTCTTTGTTAGTCACTGCCTTCAATTAAATGACTTTTGTGATTGACCCAAACATTAGCTTTGCACATTAGT